TGGGGTGAAAGCGAGAGGGAGAGAGTGGCGCAGGGGAATTTGAATGAGAATTGAGAGGCCATGCATATTTTCCATCTTCTATCTTCTTCATGATTAAAGGAATATTCTTGTTTCAATAGTGATCTATCAATATTGCCAAGCCTAACTCATTGCTGGTGCTTCATCAAGATAGAAATGCTCATGTTCACTACGTAACTTCTTTTCTTCTTCCTTAATTAACTTTTCCTCTTAAAATTAGTCTAGGTCAACCCATTATTGTTTTTTTTTTTTTGGCTTTTATTTCATTTTTATGAAAGTTCTTTTCCTTTCCGTTTGAATCAATATCTAAAAGTTACCTATTACTCCTATCCCAAAATTCCGATACGGCAAGCTTCCGACTCATTTTGTTCATTCTAACTGTGTTTTAGTTTTTAGAATCCTAAATTTATATTTTTGTACGACGCACTTCTGCAGCTAGCTAGGGGAGAAGAAAAGATTGATGGGTTGCCTCTGCCGTGTAATTAATTAAAAGCCAATTTTATTTTATGTGGCGTTAGCGGGTACGAATATACCATATACAATCAGCGTCAATCTTTATCTTCAGATGCTCGTTGTTGTCGGCCAAAAAGAGATGCTCACGGTCGGTATTCCGATTTCTACGTCAGCATTCCGGTAGGTCCCGTTGGGTAATACACGTTTTCCACTCTACAGAATATAAATTTCTTGTTCATTAGTTTGGACGTAAAGTGGAAAAAGCACGATAAGGACGGCCACAGCTTCCTCCCCTTTGTAAATTAAAGACAAAAAAAAAAAAAAGAGAATGCACTTAATCTTAAGGATTAAGATCCATTGATAAATAAACACTATTTTGAAGACTAGGTCGCTAATGTAGGCTAGGTTGCTAATATAAGAAGTATATCTTTAAAATTAATTATTCAAAAAAAATTAGTTTTAAAGTACATGAATAATAAGTAAAAATTAAATTGTTAACACCTTAACTGTTAAAAAAAATGCAATTAAATTTTTTGAATGCAATTTTCTTCCATTGACTTGAATATTTGAGAGGGTCCATTTAGTATAATAATGGGTTTTGATTTTTATAAAATTTTTAATTATTGAAAATTAAAAATAAAAAAATTAACAATTTATTTAAAATAAATTTTAACACTCATAACAATTAAAAAATACGAGCTTATTTTATAATATTAAAATTAATTTATTTTATTTTTTTAATAATTATGATAATATGTTATAAAAATATATATAATAATAAATATATTTTTTGTTTAAAGTTGAAAAATTTATAAAAACAAAAATTAGAAACTACAACTATATTAGATGCAACCTAATTCTTCACAGACCCTGAAATTTCAATTCTTAAGCTATTATTTTACAATCTAAACTTTTTAATGAATATTTTTTTAATCACAAAGAGAATATTAATTTTCTTAATGTATCTATTAAGGTTTCTTGCAGGGTCCAAAAGGAAGCATCTTCACTTTCCATAAACAGCCTTAAAGTTGTGTGTATCTTTACAAATGTACGTGACATGAAATGGGGACAGCAAATGCATGTATGCATGAGGATGAGAGGGTCAACTTGCGAGTGCTGGAAAAAAAAAATGAAAATAGGACATTGCCCACCATCGATCTGTCACATAACTGTGACACCAACACATGTGGCTGCGCTGAAACTAAATTATCTTAGGAAGGTTCCTTTCTGCAGGCTTTATGCAAAGCCCAATTTCAGACATTTAGGCTGCATGGTGCTAAGTACTAACGTACTGTGATACTGTGAATCATATAATATCATAATATGGTAGATAAAATTGGGCCTTGAACAGAACAAACTAATTAAGAGAAACTGGGCTAGACCTTTCTCCAAAATGGGGCTTCTTTTTTTTTGTCAATTTTAGTCTGGACCAAATCTAGTCTAATAGTCTCCAGTATTACTATTTTTATTTTCATTTAAGGGAATCTAAAATACCCTCTTTCTCCATAAAATTAAATTATTTTATTTTATTTTTACATTAAAAATTTTAAAATAATTTTTATTTTTATTAATTTTATTTTTTAAAATATATAAAAAATAATTATTTTAATTAAAGAATAAATGATCAAGGTTAAGAAATAATTATAATGTTAATTAAGAAAAAATATTTATTTCCTCTAAAATAAGAAAAATAATTATTATTTTAAAATAAAATTTAAATAAAAAACATCACGGATGGAGTAACAATTAGTGTCAACAAACTAAATAGTTTAAAAAGATCTTAAATTCAAGTAACAATGATATGCAAAAAATACAAGTGAAGTAAATTAAAGAATAAGAAAAGTTATTTTTTATTATATAACTTTAAAAAAAAATTAACAAATGGGAATATAAAATAAAAAGGGTATTTAAAATCTCAAATAAAATAAAAACTCGCCCAAAATCTACTTATTCAGCTTATGAAGATCCACATTATCAATTTCTCACAAAATTCAGCTGTATTCCCCTATTTACCGAAAAAAAATAAATTTGGAAAGAAATAACGAGGAAAAAAAAATAAAATATTACCCACAAAACTCATATTTTCTAATCAACCTCCTCAATCTTGGGCCCAGCTTCACTTCCTCCGGTGGGAGGTGCGCCACCGCCCATATCTGCGTCCGCGCCCTGGTACATTTTCGCGATGATAGGATTGCAGATGCTTTCGAGCTCCTTCATCTTGTCGTCAAACTCGTCCGCTTCAGCCAGTTGGTTGCTGTCGAGCCACTGGATTGCCTGCTCTACCGCATCCTCAATCTTCTTCTTGTCTTCCGGACTGAGTTTAGAGCCGATCTTCTCATCACTCACTGTGTTCCTCATGTTATACGCGTAATTCTCCAACGCATTCTTTGCCTCCACTTTCCTCTTGTGCTCCTCGTCGTCTGCCTTGTACTTCTCTGCTTCCTGCACCATCTTCTCAATTTCATCCTTCGAAAGCCTACCCTTGTCGTTGGTGATGGTAATTTTGTTCTTTTGTCCTGTTGTTTTGTCCTCCGCAGATACATTTAAAATACCATTGGCATCGATGTCGAAGCAGACGCTGATCTGAGGAACCCCTCTTGGAGCAGGGGGAATTCCGGATAGCTCGAATTTTCCGAGCAAGTTATTGTCTTTGGTTCTGGTTCTCTCGCCTTCATAGACCTGAATAAGAACCCCAGGTTGATTATCGGAATAGGTAGAGAAAACCTGTTCTTTTTTGGTCGGAATGGTGGTGTTTCTCGGAATTAGAACAGTCATGACTCCTCCGGCAGTTTCCAGGCCAAGTGAAAGAGGGGTGACATCCAAGAGCAGAAGGTCTTGAACTTTCTCGTTGCCTTCGCCGCTCAAAATGGCGGCTTGCACGGCTGCCCCATAGGCAACAGCCTCATCGGGGTTGATGCTCTTACAGAGCTCCTTCCCGTTGAAGAAATCCTGCAACAGCTGCTGCACCTTGGGGATTCTAGTTGACCCACCAACAAGAACGACATCATGGATTGTGCTCTTGTCCATCTTAGCATCCCTCAAACATTTCTCCACCGGCTCCATACATTTCCTAAATAGATCCATGTTTAACTCTTCAAATCTAGCTCGAGTAATTGTGGAGTAGAAATCAATTCCTTCATACAGAGAATCAATTTCAATGGTAGTTTGAGCAGTGGAGGACAGAGTCCTCTTTGCTCTCTCACAAGAAGTCCTCAATCTCCTCAGAGCTCTAGGACTTCCGCTAATGTCCTTCTTGTTCTTCCTCTTGAACTCCTGAACAAAATGGTTCACCATCCTGTTGTCAAAATCTTCTCCTCCGAGATGGGTATCTCCAGCGGTGGCCTTCACCTCAAATATACCTTCCTCGATGGTAAGGAGAGAGACATCAAAAGTACCACCGCCAAGATCAAAGATGAGGACATTCTTTTCCCCAACACTAACGGCTTTCTTATCCAGGCCGTATGCAATGGCTGCAGCTGTTGGTTCGTTAATGATTCGCATGACATTGAGACCGGAGATGACTCCAGCGTCCTTGGTGGCTTGCCGCTGTGAGTCGTTGAAGTATGCCGGAACGGTGACAACAGCATTCTTGATGGTTGAACCCAGATATGCCTCTGCTGTCTCTTTCATCTTTATCAAAACCATAGAGGAGATTTCCTCTGCAGCAAATTGTTTGTCTTCCCCTTTGTATGTTACGGCGATCATTGGTTTGTCTCCAGCACCGGCGACCACCTTGAACGGCCACAACTTCATGTCACTCTGTACAGAAGGGTCACTGAATCTCCTCCCAATCAACCTCTTTGCATCTAATACAGAAAATAAATGCAGTCACCAAAATTAATTGAGCCTAAATCATACTTCTTTTTTTAAATGATGAAACACCAAATCTAATTTAAAATCCCCAATTCCCAAATTTACGTTCCAAGAGAAACCCACCGAAGACAGTGTTGGTAGGGTTCATGGCGACCTGGTTCTTGGCGGCGTCGCCGATCAAGCGTTCGGTATCAGTGAAGGCCACGTACGATGGCGTCGTCCTGTTGCCCTGATCATTCGCTACGATTTCCACACGGTCGTGCTGCCAGACGCCGACGCAAGAGTAGGTTGTTCCGAGATCGATTCCGATAGCAGGACCTTCACCTTTTCCGGCCATTGTAAACCCGATAGTAGAGAAATGAGACGACCAACAAACAAGGAAAGCTTTGGAGAGAAATTAAGAAGGGTTGCAGAGAGATAGGAAGAAAGTGAGAGTGGTGACGAATATATATCGGATTTTGAGGAAAGAGTTCAACTTTTGTCGGAGAACGTAATAGCCGGAGACGGCGTTTTCCGATTCAAACTGAGTTTCAGTTCAGATTTTGATTCTGTTATGAATCGATTTCCCGTGAACGTTGTTTTGGTGCTTGATGATTTCCATCCTTATTCCTAACTCAAATTTGGGCTTTCAAATGGGCCTGATTAAAGTGCTTGATTGACAAAAGGCCTATAAAAGCAGGACTTATCACACAAAATATAAGTACAGACCAAAAACTCGTTTATGTTCTATAGCCCATCTCCAAAATAGAATGACGGGATAAATGGGCCACAAAAAGAGACTTTAAAGTATCAAGCTCTATCAAGAACAAAAAGGTTAGTATTAATAATTGTTAGAGTCAAAAGATTTCGAGTTGTTTTAAAAGATATTTTGGAATTGGAAATTTTAAATTGAGAGATAAGTATTAAAAGAAGTTTATCCTTTATAGTTAGAGTTTAATTTGACTTTTGAATATTAAAAAATTTAATTAAAAGAAAAAGGTTAGCATTTTTTTTTTTTGAAAAAAAGAAAGTATTATGTGTAGTTTAGATTGAACACCATTAATCATTAAATGACTATGAATTTCTTAAAATTAAAGACTATTTTTTCATTTAATAATTCATATTTTTGTAATTTAAAATACAAAATAAGAGATTTTAAAAGTCCCGCACTTTGTGGTTTATTGAGCACCCCTTGTGGAACGTGTTAAGATTAGCGAACTTGGGATCAAATCTTAGATTCCCTGTCCCGAAAAAGTTTTACACTGTTCCAAAAAAATAAAGAGATTCTAAAGTAATCAGCCGATCAGCGGCAAAATTTCTTGCACCCCTAAAATGGTGAAAATTTTCCTTCGAGTTAGAAAAATCTTGGTGGGTGCTGCAGCGGTGATGGTGGGCTTTAAATGCCAAGGCATATGCGCCTTTAGTTTCTTTTAAAGATTGTTGGCGTCGTCCTTAATTCCAACCTACTGCCAACTGTCTCATACAATCAGATTCAGACAATTTCACAACTTCATCCAATCTCCATTTTTGCTTTCTTCTACACATTCATTTCTTGATTATTATTACCTCTTGCTCTAGCAACTTCCTTTTAAGTGGTTGGTAAGCTGTGAGATTTAGTAAACAAGATATGAAAACTAATGTGATTAAGTGTTGATTGATTTCTTTTTAGTTTAGCTATTAGGTTTGAGGGGAAGGAAAACCTCTTTAAAATTCTTTAGGCCATGATTCAAGTAATCAAGAAGTAGAGGGAAGAATCCTACTCAGTTATGCACCATCCGCTTTCTTTAACATATGAAACTATGATTCTTGCCTGCCTAAACAGGACTGTAATTCGGCAGCTGGCCCTTTCCTAACTCAAAATTGTAGTCTTCAAAATTTTAGAAGGAGGAAAATTGGTATTAGGAATTGTTTGGGAAGAATGTAAACGTCAAGGTGTGGGGGCAAACTTTCGGCTCAATCGCGTGATAACAATGATATTACTTGTTGTTTAGGTAAATGCTCACAATCCCCCACTGCTATGAATATGAACTTTTGTCACTTTCAGTTGAAATTAAAATGAACCCCTTTTTCCCTTTAAACCCTCTGAAGATTTTTGTTCCTTCTTGCTTTACCATGTTGCTTTGGTACTTAGGCTCCGTTTGGTATAACAATTTTGAAGTAACGGTTAGCGGTTTTACTTAAACCGTTAAATATAGGTGTTTGGTAAATTTATATATTTCGAAACCGCTACAATTAAAATGTTTGGTAAAATTTTTATTTAGCGGTTTGAAACTAACGGATAGCAGTTAGGGTTCAAATCGCTAGCGGATTGAAAAAGCTAGTTTATGTAGCTTTTTGTATCAAACCGCTAGTGGATTAGAATTTTTTAATTTTATTGACAAATTTGTCCATTTTAATTTTTTAATTTGTGGTCACATTTTTTAATTAATAATTATCTAATAAATTTCAGTTTTGTTTTTTTTTTCCTT